CCCCTTTTCAGGATCTATCCCAGAGTCTGTCTGCTTACAGTCTCCATCATAATCTGGTTGGAGATCCGTCAGACTGGTCCGCACAGGTGGCTGTGTTTCCCCTCTCCTCTTTGGATATTCTAGTAGAATGACATTTGTGAGGCATCGTGGTGAAATCAGGCGCTCGTCAAAATAATGAAATCGAAGAAACAGACATTTTTCTGCCAGTTTGGCAATTTTCGTCAATTATTATTTTTACTCAGCACCCTGAATGTCCTTATAGAGATATATTTCCATGTGCATTTTACTGAAAAACGTTTATTAAAGCCACAAAATATTGCCATTTTTATGTTTTCAAGGAATCTCAAGCTATTGGAGTTACCAAACTTTGGCGGCCATTTTCTTGCTAATTTTACCACTGTAACCAGGCAACCCCACCATCTTCAATAGCAAGCATCTTGACTTCTATTTAAGACAGACGGGTATCCTTTTCATTGACAGCAAGGGAAATGAATAAGCTTTCAGATGGTACCAATAACTCCACGTGTCCAAAGAAAGAGCGCCTGATTCCACCACGTCATGGCACATTTATTGCGAGTAAAAGAGTGAGGAAGAAAAAAAAACCCAACAAAGGTATCTACAAAATAAGTCCAAAAATGAACGGGTCTGTCTGAGGTTTCTGCTTCAGCAGCTGATGTAGGTGTCAGTGTCACGGGGAGGTAACTCTTCCGACACGGTCTGAAGGCGACGTATACCTGGCCTACTCGTGACGTCATCCGGGCCCGTGTTTGCGGCGGTTTTAGCTCGGACCGCTCCCGGGAAGGAGTCTGCCTTCTTCAGACCCCGCACGCGCACGGTGAGGTCGTGAGTACCCTTGTTGTCCGGGCTCCTCTCCTCCCCGCTCTCCTTTTCGTTATCTCCCTTGTTGGGTATATCATCCTCCTTCGTATCCCCCTTTCCGTTCAGATTCTCGAATGGGTCTTGGCTTTTTTCATCGCAGACTCCCCAGTAGTCGTTTGGCTTGCTTTCGTTGATGTCTTTTAGCTCGCTGAGTTTTTTCTCCGCGTTTTGGTCGGGTTTGTCGTCCATCACGTCATCATTCTCTGCTTTCTCCTCGTCTGATTCCTCCTGTGAGTACTGGATGTCGCGCTCTATCTTGGCGGAGCTGAGTCCGAGAACACTGGCGTAGCGGCGCAAGACGTCCATGACCGAGTCGATGATGAGCTGAGGAGGAGAGGAGGAGAGGAGGAGAGGAGGAGAGGGGGGAGGGGAGGAAAAAAGCAGAGTCGGGTCGTCATGTATCGTTACATTATATGTAATATAGAACTTTGTAATTCTAATACGAGGTGCCCACTACGGCTGGATCGGGCTGATCGCCTGACGACTCGGTCGCCTGAGAGAGAGAGAGAGAGAGAGA